TTTTTTTTTTATCTATGAGCAAGGAGAGTGGCTTCAAAAGCAGTAAGAATACTTATCCCTTCAAGAAATCACTTGCGCAACTAATCCCTGAACCTGTACTGATTATTTGGTAAACCATGTAAATTTAGCGTGTGTATTCATTACATGATGATTTGGTTTGGTTAAAAAAAAAAAGAATTGTATTGCTTACCGAGCAATTTCCTTACAGCTGACAAATCATTGGTGACTCCGGTTGCAGTCTCATTGTGCACTATGCAAATGGCCTTGATGGTATGGCTCCTATCTTCTGCCAACTTCGAGGCCAAAACATCGAGATTGGCCCCCTGCCCCCAGTCACTTTCAACAACATCGACGTTGAATTTCAGGCGCTGTTGTTGATCGATCCATAGGAGACTGAACTGCCCGATCAGAAAAGATACAATCCTGTCACCGGGTGATAGCGTATTTGTAAGTGCACTTTCCCATGCCCCAGTACCTAGGTGATCAAGGCATCACATGATCATGTTAAACTACAAAGATTCAAACACATAGACGCATACCAAGGATTCAAAGAACTCTTCAACTTAACCAACATTGTATATACTCGACGAAAAAAAAATTATTTTTCTTCCTTTCTGAGATAGGAGTACCTGTGGTGGGGATGAGGAAAGGGGTCCCGCTTGTAGTCTTGAAGATCTTCTTGACATCCTCAAGAAGAGTCTTGGTGAGTGCAGGCACGGCTGGGGATCGGTAGTCCTCGTTGTTCCGGTTCATCGCCCTCAGCACGGGCTCCGGGATGTTCACCGGCCCGGGAACAAAAAGGTGGTTCCTCCCCGGCCCATATACGTAGTCCATCCTCTCTCCTAATCGCGGTTTCCTGCGAGAATCACAAAAGGTAAACGGGAATTCAAAGCTCACATCACTGATAACACACGAAGAAAGAACACTGTCATATTCATCAAAATGGCTAATAATGTGAGCTGGCATGTCCCTTTTATGGTGTTGTTAACGTGGTACACATCCAAGCCATCAGCTGTGTGCAACGTCAATGACACGTCAGTGAGCACCATGGAGGGACACAAAGGTTTCGATTTTCTCAAAAAAAAAAACGGATAAATTATTGAAGCATGCAAAATTAGGACAAAATATCATGATGGTTTTGATCAATTACAAAACATTTGAGAGATCTGTCCTTGGGTAGATTGAACACCCAATCGCATAAAGTGCATGAACAGTGAACAAATGCAACAAAAACATGTTTTAACTTTAGGGAAGGGATTAATTAGAGCAAAATAATTGAGAAATCTAGAAAAAAAAATGAGAGAGAATCATACCATGGGCTGCTTTTGAAGGAAATTGGATAGGATGGGCAAACATTAAAGATGCAATTGGGTTGGGTTCGAAATGGATTAGCGCCTGACTTTTGAATGGAATTTAGTTATTTTAAGTCTGCACACTCTATAAAACCCAATAGTTTGATGTTTAAGATTTTTGTGATATTCTGAACAAAAATAGTTTATGATAATGTTTCATAAAATCCCTAACTTGGGTGCAAACGAATCTGGTAAGGATGATACAAATACAAGTAAAATAAGAGAAAATATATACTGATCTACACAAAAGGATATGAAAAAGCCAGATGAGTAAAAAGGCTTCATATTGATATCTGTCAAAATAAGATAAGCATGTGAATAAAATAAAAGAAAATATGAGGATACAAAGCGGATAGGGAAAAAAGAAAGATAAGATTGTGAAAATTGTACGTAGCTCATATGATACAAAGCTAAGATTAGATTTATGCATCATCAAAATTAACCTCTAATCTATTAATCTAATGGTCAAAACAGAGTCTGAATATTTTTGATATGAATCCAGATATTTACATTATATATTCGTATCGTAATCATATCATATTCAGTGTAGATATCTAGTAATCTTTTGTGTATCTTAACATCTGTAAAAGTAATTTCAACCAAAATTTCATAACAAACAAGTAATTCAACATCAACTGAAAATTTCGACAGAATTAGACCATTTCAATAAAAAAACAAAAAGCAAATTTACATGATGATATCATGGACAAATTTTGAAAATCGACCCATTTATAAAAAAAATTACAAAAAACGACCCATTTACAACATATTTGTCAAAATCGACTCAGTTTTAGCCATCTGGCTGAAACTGGGTCGATTTTGACCAAAAAACTTATGCAACTTCACATGACTTCAAGTCCGTGAAGTTTTGTCTGAGTCGATTTTATGTTGTAAATGGGTCGACTTTTGCCTTTTTTTTGTAAATGGATCGATTTTCAAAATTTGTCTTGATATCATTATGGAAAAATACTCACATACCACTACCATCTTTCTGAAGTTTCTAATTGTACCACTAAATAAATAGTTGCTAGCAATCAAGTGGAGAATGAAGTTAAGTTGGAAACACAAGTAATTAAGTTGAGAATAAAGGAGTTTGAATTTCAAATACAAAGACAAAAATATAGAGCGAAGTTTACCTTAACTATGCTTCACTTTCTCTCTCTTCTCTTGTACTTAGCTTAACTATGAAGTTCTTTTTCCCCCTCTCTCCAAGTTTTAAGAGGGAGAGAGCGGACACTTTGTGCTCGTAACGGGCCGGAGATAAAGAGATAGGATAGGAACCCGCTGTGAGAACGCTGGTGCCCAAAGAGCCGCTGTCCACGGGCCCACCGGGATCCTACGTGGCAGATAAGAGGACTCCTGAGGCTGAGGAGCAAGGAAGTTATAATCCCCATCTTGACAGTTGGTGATATTTGTAACGTTGTAACGTCAGCAACGGTTCATGTTTCACTCGCACCAACTTGAAGTTGTTTGAACAATTATTTACTATTTGCGTTTTTTTTGTTGTTGTTGTTGTTAACATCGGTTTAACGTTTATAATATGATATATAGTTTTCTTCTTTTCCATACATTGCACTTGTAGCATAAGAGCATCTCCAACCCAAAAAGCTAAAATGGTGTAGTTTTTACACCAAGTTGGTATAGTTTTTACACAAAATCACTATTTCATCTCCAATCCATTACTAAAAATTGAGTGTCGTGAGAAAAAATAATTTTCAATCAATTTGACTAAAAATTATTATTATAAACTAATACCTGACTATTATAGGAACATTTCCACATTTTCATTATTATTAGGGAAAATTGCTTGGGGGAACCAAATAAAATTCGGCTATGCATCCCCACCCCCCAACTAGAGTCAAACACTTGGGGGCACCTTGACCCAAGTACTCATGCTTTCTCACCCCAAACCCAACAGTGTTTCTCTACTTTATAGTGTATTTTTCCAGCAGTACCCATTTTGCCCTTTCTTCTCTCATTTTCGATTTGGGGGTGGGCGCTGAAATCGGCTATGCATTGAAGAACTTGGGTTTTGTCTTATTCGCCAGCCAAGCAACCCATCATGAAGTAGTGGTAGTCAAATCAGTGAGCTGGGGGGTTTTATGCAGGGAAGGGGAAAAATGGAGGGAAAAATGTACACGGTTCCCTCCAAAATATTGCATTCCTCATATATACTCTTCTCTCTTTTGATCTACTGCTAAAATCTTCAACAACCTTCAACAATCATTTATATTCTGAACTTTTTCCTCTTAACTTCTTCAACAACCAAAATGGAAGATTCTTTAATGTGTGTGATTTCATTTAACAGTAACGCAACCCTTATTAAAGTCAATTCAGCAACAAGTTTAGCCGAATTGAAGATGAAAGCCGCAGAGAATTTTAGAGTACGGTTCGAAAGTTTGTTGATAAGTTACTCTATCGATAAGTTTCCCAATGTCTCGTTTGAGCTTTCAAAAGATGAAGATATTCTCAATATGATAGGTTATCATCGTTCAATGGGGTTAAATACGTTGACCATGACTGTTACTGAAAGAGATGAAGGACCCACCCATGCCATAGGGTCAGAAACAGAGCTTAAGTAAGTATTCAAAAGTATATTTTCATGTTCTGGATACACGTGACATATTCTATTATATATGTGACCTGAAGACATACCACGTGACATTTGGACCTTATTTGTGATATATTGTCTTTATTTGTGACATTTGAGTCTTATATGTGACTTTACTGGTAAGTATCACATGTGACTTATATGTGACCTGTACATTAAACCTGCAGTGTTCCTAATGTAAGCTCACAGTCATCAGAGCATATTGAGCAACCTTATGAGAGTATCACAATCGAGGAATCAGAGAGGATCCCAAATGACAACCCTCAAGGAGAGCATGTGTACAGTATGAACGACGTAGTAAGTGACTCGTCACGGATCCCAGCATGGTGGCACGAGGCAATTACTGGAAAAGGGCAGCAATTTGAAAGTGCAAAAGAAGTTAGAATGGCTCTTATATACTACTCTATAGCTAAGAAGTTCGCTTTCAAATATGTTAACAATGAGCCAAAACGTATTCGTGCTAGTTGCATGTTTAGAGAAGAAACAAACTGCCCGTGGTTGTTTTTCGCTTCACCATTGAGCCATGTGTCGACATTTGCTATAAAGAAATTTGTTCCTCAACATACATGTGGACAACATAACAGCACAGCTGGTCACTTCAGAGCATCAAGAAGGTGGATTGCGAGTATGCTACAATCAATTATGAAGAGGCGTCCATATATAACCCCAACTGACATTAGAAAGGAATTGCACTCTCAATATGGATTAAGAGTTAATTATTCTAAAGCTTGGCGTGCTAAAGAGACAGCAAAAGATGAAATATTTGGTTGCGCAAGGCATTCATATGATTTACTATCCTGGTTAGTCCTCGTTATTTATTGATGCGTGAACGTTATATTTCAAAGTTATTTGTGACAACTTGTTCCTACATCTGCATGTGAGATTTAAACGTTATATGTGATATTTTGACTTTATATGTGACGTTTGAGCATTACATGTGATAGTTAGATCTTGTATGTGATATTTGGACTTTCTATGTGACTTTTGAGTATTACATGTGATATTTAAACCTTATATGTGATATTTTGACTTTATATGTGACGTTTGAGTATTTAACAAGTTATTTGTGATTTAACCATCTTTTTAGGTACCAGATGAAGGTGACGGAAACAAATCCAGACAGTGTCTTCAGCATTGAACAAGAAGAAAGGAGATTCAAACGTTTATTTGTGTCGTATGGTGCATGCATACAGGGGTTTCTCAAGGGATGTAGGCCGTTGCTCTTTCTAGATGGGACTTTTCTGAAGGATCGTTACAAAGGGATCTTATTAGGTGCGACCGCTTATGATGGTAATTCAAGGCATATTTCCACTCGCATTTTCCGTTTGTGACCAAGAAAATGAAGCGAATTGGAGTTGGTTTATTCAAGGATTGCGGTATATATTGTACAATCGAACAGAACCATACAATCCACCCCATCCCCTTGTAATTCTGTCAGACGCCGACAAAGGAATAAAGCAATCTTTGAAAAATATATTTCCAGATGCGTACCACTCTAGGTGTGTACTTCATCTTGTTGAGAATTATAAATTGAAGCTTAGAGAGATGGGTTTTGCCTCAAGTGCTGCTCAACGTATTTCAAAATTATTGGAGTTTGCTGCATACAAGTACACGGAAGGAGAATTTAATGCTGTTTTGCGTCAGATTCGAATGACAGATCAAAGAGCTTACCAAGTAGCTCTAAGTTATGGTCCTAGTAATTGGGCCAATTCTGTATTTCCTGGTATAAGGTACGTCAATTATCATTACCTTTACTGGTTATATTATGCTGTTATATGAAATTGAGCCTTTAAATGTCACATTTCGCTTTTATATGGTCGTTCATCTGTTACGTGTGACCTTTACTTGTATCGTGTGACAATACTCCATTATATGTGACAACTATCCGTTATCTGTGATTATTTGTTGTTATTTGTGACATTTGTCAGTTATTTGTGACACATAGCGGTAAATTGTGGTAATGATTTTTTGTTTTCAATCAGATATGGGCATATCACTTCCAATGTCGCTGAATCTTTCAACAGTTGGATTCGTGTGGCGCGAACACTTCCCATTTGCGATATGATGGATCACATTCGTGTGCAAATTATGGAAAGGATGAATACTCGTCGCGAGATGGCAACAAAATGGAATAGCTATCTTTGTCCTGAAGCGGAAAAAATCCTCCAAGAAAATGTCACCAAGGGAAGCACTCTTGAAGTATCGCATTCTACAGCTGAAATCTTCGAGGTATCATCACAAAAATCAGTACAAGTTGATTTGGGACACAAAACATGCACGTGTCGTGCATGGGATATATTGCGAATACCATGTAAACATGCGTGTGCCGCTATTAACTTCATGCATAGAGATGTGTACCAGTTCTGCGATTGGTTCATGACGACTGAAGCTTTCAGGAGAAGTTACGAACCAATCCTCTTTCCTGTTCCAAATTACGATAAGCCAGATGTCACAGATGAAACAATTAGCATTCTTCCCCCAAAGACGACAAAGAGACGTGGAAGGAACAAGAATAGGCGTATCAACAACAGATCTGAGAGTAGACGTGCAATTAGATGCTCAAGATGTCACGCTGAAGGACATAACCGAGCCACGTGCACTGAACCTATCGAAGATTAACGTTTCCAGGCAGAATGCAAACGCTTTTGTGACTATTGTCTGTTACATGTGACTTTTGCCATTTTGTTGTGACATTTGTGTTTTGTATGTGACAAATTACCTATTCGTGTTACTTTTGCCACAAAAAATGTGACGTATTACCTGTTTGCATATCACATGTGACTATTGTAACATACCACAACATACCAAAAGTCAATCATACCTACCAAAATGTCACATACAAGTCTAATAAGTCACAAAGCATACTAAAACGACACAACCGCCTCAAATGTCACACAAAATAAAAAAGTGTCACATACAAGACTCAAAAGTCACACAGAACACTATAAAGTCACACACAAGTTTCAAAAGTCACAGAACATACTAAAAAGTCACATGATGGCCCCAAATGTCACACAAAATAACAAAGTGTCACATACAAGACTCAAATGTCACACAGAACACTAAAACGTCACATGTGACTATTGTATGTTACATGTCCATTTCATCCTAATGTGGCGTATCACCTGTCCGCGAGACATATTACCAGTCCGGATTTAATATCTTCCAGAACAGATCACAAAGAATTTAATAAACAGCTAGTAACTGATAAGGAGAATATTTACAGACCTGTACAAATGTAACATACCACAACATACCAAAAGTCAATCATACCTACCAAAATGTCACATACAAGAAGCAAAAGTCACACAGTACACTAAAATGACACACGTGATATTCAAAAGTCACACAGAACACTAAAACGTCACATACAAGACTCAAAAGTCACACGGCATACTAAAACATCGCGTAACAGCCCCAAAAGTCGTCAACAGCAATCCAACAAATGTCACACACAGCTAGTAAACTGGTTAGCCTGTACATCACCACGTTTAAACAAATGACACAGTTAATGTAGAGTCTAATACTTCCACTCAATCTTAGGTACATCACTACCCCCAAAGTACAAAAAATATTCTGGATCATCACTGTCTAATTTCAACCGCAGTTTTTTCCCTTCACGCCCTTCACATATGAGTTGAGCAGCAAGTCCTGCTCGTAGCATATGTGACTCCCTGTGCAAGGCTTCAACTTGCATTATCTCCCTTTCCTCGAGAATCGTCTTGATGAAAAAATACGCATGTATGCCACAATCATACCTGTAGAAATATCACATAACACTTAATACCAGAAATATAATATAACATAATAAGCATATAACACAGAGAATGTAAAACTATCACATAACAGCCCCAAAAGTCACACAATACTGAAATGTCACATATAGGCCCCAAAAGTCACACAGAATAACCAAAAGTCACATAACAGCCCCAAAATGTCACATAACAGCCCCAAAAGTCACATAGAATACTAAAATGTCACATATGGGCCCCAAAAGTCACACAGAATACTGAAATGTCACATATAGCCCCAAATTGTCACATATGAATGTGAAAATATCACCCATTCAAGTATCATATGCATTAATAAACTGTTTAAGTGTAAGAAACTTACGATCCTTTTTGCATACGACAGGGAACCGCTTCATAATCAAATGCTCTAAATGTCGAACTCTGGTCAAATCCGCTCACCATCCTATCTAAAAATAGTTGGATGGCCAACACGTCCCTAGCCCATGCCTCGTGGCCAGCGGAGCTGTAATGCCTGCATTTTTTTTTGCCCCAGATTGACCTCGACGACATGCCAATGATCAGCATGACATATCGGGATTATCAACACATCCTTCCCTTCGTCGATATGCTTCTTTATATAGTTTTTATAGATCTTTCGCTCATCCAACTTTGAAGCAGTTAGCAACCAAATCTACCGGAAAAAGAAAAAAAGATAAAGCGGGAGAAAGTCAAATAACATATAACTGCAAAAAATGATCCACATTACTCACACTAAAATAGGATGTGATAATAGCAAATTTGCGATCCCGAGCGGCATTTTCGGGGAGCTTGAGCCAGTTCCGAAGTCTTGCAACAAGGGCTTCAACCGTCTAATAATTGCAAACATAATAAATCATGTAAATATCAAAAACTTGACTAACAACGAAACTTAAACAGAAACTAACCTCATCCTTCAATGGCCCACCGCGTAGAAGATGAAGAATATCGTATCTGTTTATAGTTTGGTCCTCAACCTCCAAAACAATCCTCCTACAAAAATGTATCACATACAAGAATGTATAAGCGACATATCCAACCGATTAATAAACTGTCACAGGAGAATACTAAATGTCACATAAAAACTGTAATGATCACAATGTACGTGCTTATGTCACAAACGTCATGTAACTATCACAGACCACTTATATATATCACAGAATAATACTTAATACTTACTTGTCAACTTGTAACGTTAGAAAATGTTGAAACCACTTGTTTTCATCTTCCGACGCATTAGGTACATCACGAACAGTGAAGTTATGATGAAATCCTTCGTCAACTGTTCCCGGTAGCCTGATGTCAAAGTCTTGGGCAGAAGGAATGCCCATATTCAACATTGATAATAATTTTTTTTCATCTTCAGTTTTTTCCCTTCTCCATAGCTGAGGCACGGATGTTCTCATAGGTGGGAACGAATGCCCATATTCAACATTGATAATAATTTTTTTTCATCTTCAGTTTTTTCCCTTCTCCATAGCTGAGGCACGGATGTTCTCATAGGTGGGTGTGCCATTTCACGTGGCTTCTTCTCCTCTATTGTCTCCCCCTTGTCATCATCATCTTTCACCAAAACGACACTTTTTTTCCCTTTCATCTTTTTCTTAGGCATTTCTGTACAATATGGAGATTCTAGGGACTTGGGCTTCTTCGTTGTTCTTCGGCTCCTTGCACGGAGCCCCTGAACAAATTCTCCCAAAGTAGACTCACCTTCCTCCCTCCTCTTCCTTCCCCTCTTCTTCTTAGGAACTTCCTCAACAACTTTCCGCGCTTCAGACTATATAAAGATCACAGTTAATGAATATATATAATAGTAAACTGACATGAATATATATCACATGAGGAAATCATGCATCACAAATAATAAGCAAAAGTCACAGATAAACTGTTTACGTCACAAATAACAGGGAGCTATCACAAACAGTGTGTACATGTCACAGACAACCAAATCTACCGTAGGAGAGTTAGCTGCTCAAGTTCAATGCCCACTTCTTGGCCTTGATCACCTTCTCCCTCTGCTTTCTCTTCCTTCCCTTCTTCTTTCTCCGCCTCATCTTGTCTCTCTATTTGAGGCTGCATACATGTTAAGAATGTAACCAATTTCAGCAAACTTTTATATGTGATATTTTTTCCTCGTTTGAAATAGGAAATAAATAAATTATAACCTCTTCTTTCTCCGCCTCATCTTGTCTCTCTATTTGAGGCTGCATACATGTTAAGAATGTAACCAATTTCAGCAAACTTTTATATGTGATATTTTTTCCTCGTTTGAAATAGGAAATAAATAAATTATAACCTCTTCTTTTTTGGGCATGATTTGTTTCTCTTCCTCAAATCTTTTCTCAATTTCGGCCTTAATGGCCATCGTATCAACGCCACGAGCAACAAGTTCTTGCTCATAGGCTTCATTTAGCATCACCAACTTTTTATAAGCGTCATCCTACATTAACAATAAACTGATAGTGAGTAAATGTCACAAATACAAAGATCGCACATAAAGTCATCAACTTTACCCCTTTTTCCACTCTTTTCTTCCTCGAAGCTTTTTCACCCGTAGCTTCCTCCTCCATTTCAGCCCTCCTCTTTGTAGACTTATGCTTGATCTCCTCATGTACATACCGCGGCAGGTCATGCTCCGGTAAGATGTGGATTGCGGCCTCCGATTTCTTCGTTATTGTTGTAGTCCGCAGTGAACCCACTTTCTTACCCTCCAATGTCCAATTGGTCATTGGTGGCTTCGATTCATCCACTTTCGCCGGCTCCTTAATGTTTGATATCTCATAATACCATAGCTACAAAAAAGCCACATTCAAACAATGAAGTATCACATATTAGATATAAATGTCACATGTAAATGGCAATAATCACATACCAGCAGATAATATCACACATTAACTACAAACATCACATATCAGGGCAAATATCACACATGGGTCACAAACGTCACATATAACTAGAAAATATCACATGTAGAAGACACTTATCACATAAACACATATTAACTATAAATATCACATGTCATATATTAGTGTTATATATCACATGTAAATGGAAATAATCACGTGTAACAAGATAATATCAGATACAAACTACAAATAAATAGCGGACTTAAACAATACCAATTAGATACAAATGTCACATATAAATCTCAAATATCACATATAAAGGGTAATGATCACATATAAGGTGCAAATGTAACATATAAATCTCAAATATCACAGTTAACTCACCGATAGCAAGGGAGCGCAGCCGCTAAGATATGTCAGCCCCTTCGTCGCTTTCTTCACAGCCTTGAAGGAGTCCCACAATTCCTTATAGATGATTGTCGCCCATGGGAAATGATCAACCGCATCTACTCGAGCCACATATTTGAACATATGCCGCGGTGCATTCATTCTCGCGGTCGGGGTCCATATCATTGTCAATTGATAGAGGATTTGAAGCATAACAAAATCCGAAACATCGGATTTCTTTTTGGACCGAACCAATTTCTCCAATAGGGCCTCAAGGTAGCCTCGGCCACTCTTGTATTGTGATTGTTGCTTGTTGCTGAAGTATGTGGTCCATATCCTATTATCCATGTCGCGATTGCCTTCGGGTTTCTCCCCTTCATCATTAAACCGAGTATGTTTGCGCACCCAATTTAGATCAAACGTGTACGCTTGTTTAGTCCCGGTTTGGCTATCATTGAAGAAAAACTTCCCCGTGGCTAAATCCACATTATCCAGCAGCAGCATGATGGTGGCCTTGTCGGATGGAATCATACCAAAACTAACATAGTTCTTGAAATTGGAGGATCCATAAGCCCTCCAATGTTCAGACCTCATTTGTGGGACAATGCCATCCATAAATTGACAATATCCACGGATATTGCAACAAATTCTTATATCATGTTTACTGTAAAAGACAACACAACAGATACTAAATCAACTGTCTGAGATGATGAATTCACAATGCCGAAACTGACTTAGGGTTCTAATGCGTATAAATTCACAATGCCAAACAAATTAAATGAACAGATGTGAACAATTGGGTAGATACTTACATCTCAGGCTTTATTGTAGCTGATTCAGATGATGAATTCGACATCTGTATTTTCAGCAGCGTCACTGTGGGGTTCGGTGAGGATGAGAGATTCTGGCGGTCGACGAGCTTGCGGTCGTCTGTGGGGGAGTCCTTGTCGGCGGACGAGAGTCGACGAAGTAAAGGAGAGTCGCCGAAGAGGAATACGACGAGCGGTGATGGATTTCAGAAGAACAGGGTTTCGAAGTTGGCGACGAGCGGGTTTCGAAGAAGACGAGTCGTGGCGGCGGTCTTCGACGAAGACGACGAAGTCGAAGATTCGAGGATGAAGTCGAGGATGACGATCTAAAGGGTTCGCCAAAGAAGAAGGCGACGAGCACGAAGTCGAAGAAGTCGAGGATGCAGCGGTCTTCGATTGTGACGACGAAGACGAACACGAAGTCGACGAACGAGACGGCTGAAGCGTTGTCGTCGGCGGCGGAGGAAGAGGGTTCCGGAAGGGGGAGAGATTCAAACTCTTTGACGGAGGTTTGAGGGTTTCGGTAACAGCACTGCTCAGAAAATGACGGTGGGGATGTGACTTTTTCAGTTTTAAATTGCCAAGGGTAATTTGGGGATTTATTTTTGGGTTATGGGTCTGTATACTATTTGCGGGCTTTGTTGCATTTTTTTCTGTATAAGGGTTTTCCAGTTATGATTCTTAGGCTGGGGGTGGGGATGCATAGCCGAATTTTATTTGGTTCCCCCAAGCAATTTTCCCAAAGAACAATCATCTGATACCCCTTCCATAATTTTTTAATGGATTTGTACACCATCTTTCTTAATAAAATTAATAGGTCTATTCGAGGACCTACGCGAAGTTCTCAGTAAAAAAAAAGGGGATATAAATGTTATGCATTGGTTTGTATAAAAAGATACAAATCCTATGAAAACAAACAAGAGTAGCGTTGTTTATATAGTGTGAAGAGAATACTTTAAATTTCCAAACTAATTCTCTACCTATCATTGGATTGATACATGTATTCTAATTGTACACAAGTTTTTTCATAAAATTTGTATTCATTGAATGCTACTTCCAAACAAAGTGGATAGTAACAACACATATTTATTAACAGCTAATATCAACACAATCAAAATACAACATTAGTATAATAAATTACAACACAAATTATTAAGATGCATTTTTTGTCTCCACGCCACACATTTTTGTTTCATAAAGATGAAGTGTGATACATATCAAAAGTGTGGGTAGAGCTTATGTGAATAGTCATGTCTTTTACACATCTGGGAATGTGTCATAAACTCGCGACATGTATACGTGTCGCTAATGATGACACATATATGTGACACAAAATTTGTGACGCATTTATGTGTCAAGAGTGGTGATACATATTTATGTCTAAACTAGGGGTGCTAAACTATATCTGTATCCAAAGAAATATCTGTAAATATACCCGTTAGGATACATATATGGTTAATCAAATTTTAATCAATAGGATATGATTACATATATGATTTTGTAGTGAAATATCCGGATCCAGATCCTAAATATCTAAAATACATATTAGTCATAGTATTACTATAGTTTTGATCCTTAGATTATGGATTTGAGGTTAATATTTTGATGATCAAGATGTCTAATCTTAGCTTTTTAGATATAATAAATATATTAATGAATCTTTTATATCATATGAACTATATTTCCCCAATATACTATCTAGTTTTCTCATATTTGTTTTATATCATCATGCATATCCGCTTATATCCCCACATGTATATTCATATTTGTATTTGATTTTAGAGGATATGGTTACGAATTTTTTTTATCGAGATATATCTGTCTCCATATCCATATTCAAGATGGGTAAGCGGATACGGATATAATAAGTATCATATACGAGCCATATCCAGACCAAATGCACGCCTAGTGTAAAGCATAGAAATATATAAGACTATCGCTATTTAGCTTCCCAAAAGATCACTCATCATAGCATTAATCTCACGCAAGCACACATAACTATAGAGTTGTTTGGCTTATACATTATCATAAATGTTTAATCATCAGTATACTTAAAATTTAGGACTAATTAATGTACGTATGCCCATTAATAGATTCTCGCACAACCAATGTGGGATTATTAATCTTTTTTAATCTAATTTTACTTTATATCTAATAACACAAATATTTGTAGTGATTTGTCACACTTTTTATTAGTATCATTATTATTTAATTCTTTACAAAATAAAATGATAATTTTATATATGTCTAAAATAAGTATGGATAAATACAACTTTTGTTCTGGTGAAACTTCAATGCGATCAAAGTATTGAACTAATAAAGTTATTAAGACTATTTTCTTCAACCGAAACCTTTGTATCAATGCAATCATTAGTTGTAAAATCTACATTGAGTATTCATTGTGGTCTCTCCATGAGATTTACTATAGGAGATACTCTATAGTTTCTTTTTTTTTTCTTTCTTTCTTTTTTACCCGCGAAAGAAAACCCCCAAAAGAAAGGAGGGCAGGCAGGACGGTTAGGGATGAAGGGGGCGTGGGGCCCACCTTTGTCATGGATTTTATCAGCATCCCATTGAGGGGCTTCAATGGCCTAACATGGATGGATACTTAGCCTGTCAATCTTATCCCTTGTCTTCAGGCGTCCTCGTTATTTTTCCTTCCAAATTCCAAGGGTAACTAAAATTACTAAATTATTATATGAGAATGTGAGGTCTTGATGATGATAGCAAATCTACAAGTCTAGTTAAAGACTCTTTTGTTGTTCTACATGTGAAAATCTTATATATTATAGTTTAAATGTTGTCAATCGAAAAAAAGCTTAGAAGGTAAAGAGTGGATATAAAATCATACTCCCTTTAACAGCACGAGTTAGGAAAAATCTTTTTTAGACAAATATACCCCTATAAAGTTTGAACTATCCTATCTATAATCAAATTCTAATTTTTAAATTTAATTTAATGATGAGAAATGATGCTGTTATTTTGGAACTAACTTTAATAATTATCATATCCGATTGACAAATCCTATCAATCCCCGATTAATTACTTTATATATCATATCCATAATATCATATCTGTTCGAAGATAATAAGGCTATTATTCTATATCCTCTACAAGAATCTTCAAAGTTTCCGAAACCCTCCATGTAAACTTTTAATCTACTATCGTGTCATAAGATGAGGTAAAGCTCCCTCACATGCAAGTAATCTTTTGTGAAACTATAGGGACAAAATCCAAAGTTAACAAGCACGGAAAACTTTGAAAAGTTATCCTATTAGACCGAACAAATTATATCCATTAACACGCCTCCTTGTTCCTAGATTAATTAATGCTATTAAGTAATACACTAACCCAAGTTAGCAATATTAGCAACCTATTAAATTGCTACCATATATCAAATTTGGCTTCTCACGAAACAGAGGGATAAAATAACCACCTCGCCGAATAAATTTCGCTAACGCGGAAACTTCGGAGAGCCATCTTATTTCACCGACCAAATTATATCCATAAACATTAACACAACTCTAATTATGACTATTATCCTATCACATACAATATCTCATGCCTATATATAAACCAATAAATTACACAATTTTCATACTATCTTCAACTCCTTCAACATGTATGTTTCTTTTTGGAAAATGTTCTAGCCCCCAAAACAAAAAGAAACATGTCTCCCACCCCCAGACTTTTCAACGCGGCTCTTTGCCCCCAAAGTAAACTAAATTTATTCCACTGAGCCCCCAAAACACAAAAGCCCCACGAAATTTTACACAGGGTAAGACTGATTAATACCCATTCTCCCATTCTCTCTTCTCCTCTAACCATGCAAATCCGCCTCTCCTCCCTCCTCCTTTCCACCCACCTTCTCACCCGCCGCAGCCGCCACCCTCCTCCTACCATCATCGCCCTCCTCCCTGTCGTCCGGCCGCCCCAAAACCAAACCTTCGCTGGCCCGATTGGATCCACTGGTGATCGTTTCTTCGCCGGCGGTCTCCGCCAACCGTCGCGTGGCCAATTTAACCCCTCCCCACGCCCCCCAACAAAGATTCGAGGCGCCTTTGGAGCTCGCCCCCAGGGACACCCCACCAACCAGATCCCTCCGCCCCGTCGTGAATGGGAAACTCCTCTTATTAGTAAGCACGTGCGTGATCTGTACAGGACATCCCCAGGAGACCGTCCCGGAGCACTTGCCGTCGCGTATTTCCCATATCCCACATCCCCCCCTCGCCCATCGCTTTGACTGTGTTTATGCCAAACACAAATGCGATGGTGAAAATTCTAGGCGAAAAAATGGCCTCCTTGAACCCAAAATCCGCTAAGATTAGGCAGACTGTTTGTCATGTTAGACCACTCTTTACGATTAAGGACTCTTTGTTCAATGAATGATTGAACACAGAAAAGTTGACTTCCTGCTTATGCCCTATTACCATTTAGCATGGCCACACATCACGAAAACGCAGCCAACGGGCACTTCTTCTGGCAAAAGGCCGTGTTCGATTTAATGAAGCTTCCCTCTGTATGTTATCCATACATTCGGTCCACAGTCCATGTCTCAAAAAATAAATAACTTGATCCAATATGATTACAGTCGTGAGTACACCCGATAAACAAATAAGCAATTAGAAGGCATGCATTTTAGCTAGGACAAAAGGAAGTTGTGTTGCTTCTCCTATGGGTTACTGGGCGAAACTTAACGAACTCTAGAGCTGATATTATTCCATGCGACGGCAAAAGTCGGGTGTTGTCCCATAATGGTAATGCAAAGTTTCAAGAGAGTCAAGTGATTTACGTGCTTCGGCTGTTACAGTTTACCCGCGTCTGCTTGTAAAGTTACGCGGTGCATTGTTAATTGGTTAGCCGCGTTGCTTGTTAAGGGTACGCGGTTGCTT